TTTCCCTACTACCAGGAAGACCTTCTACTCTTCTTGATTATATTCTTATCATGAAGCTGAAGAAGCTTCAGGATTTTTTGCCCCTCCCTACTAGTCTGTTTCCAGAACTGAAATCACGCAAGTCCTTGAAGAGAATATATGATTCTATTAATATTCTAGGATTACTCACAGCACTGCAGGCTTTATTGCTGACTTCCAGAAAACGTTTAACAGCTTTTACTGCCAAATGATTCAAATGGACCAGCTAAAGAACTGTAAAATCTAACACAGACTGTAAAGACAGGAGGGATAAATTGAAGTGGCTGAAATTATGTTGCCACCTACAGGCCACATGCACACATTAGAAAAGGGAAAATACTGGAAACAGCAAAGAAAGCTACAGGGAAAAGATGAGAGCAGATAAGGAAACAAGAATTTTCCATCAGAAAGATTTTTAGCCTCTCCCCTACAATGCTATATTATCTAAAACTCTAAACAGCAAATCGCTTCCATTACTTTAACTTAATCTAAAGTCTTGAAATGTTACACTTCAATATTTCCCTAATTCAACACTCTACCACAGACCAAGAAAACTTCACAGAAGTATCAGGTTCAGTACCTTCCATTTTGTAATTCCTGGCATCCTCTTCAAACCTGGTAATTCAGAAGAGACATCAGCAAGTTCTAAGGCACCTGAAATCAAGAACATACACGTTCTTTAAAGCAGAATTTGAGAGCTGTGTTCCTAACCAACGTTTATGAAGATCGTTTTCCTTCAAGACCATTTTAAGACCATTGCTTTTTAAAACTTTCAAGAAACACAATATTACAAAAGCACTGTCATGTAAATTAACAAGAAAGATGGCAAGAACTGTTCGTAATAACTCCGTAAGTTTGCAATCTATTAATTGACCAAAATATAATGGCGAGGTATTTTTTGTAGCAGCTACATAGACTAATATAAACATCAGTGTTCCAGACAATGCAGTCATAGAAGTATTTACTCTCACTTACTCGGTATTTCTCTGAGACTTACTCCTTTGGGATGACTAAGCCTTTTAGAATGTTTGATAGATTCTCATTTTATTGACTTAAAATCTTAATTTATTCCAGTGTGAGAGTAAAAAGAATTTATTCTTTTTCACATGGAAAGGAAAATTTCCAACTGTAACAGTAAGGTACGTGGACAATAAGTCCAGAGGAGTGCCATGAAGATGATCAGAGGGCTGGAGCACCCCTCCTGTGAAGACAGGCTGAGACAACTGGGGTTGAAAAGAAGGCTCAAGGGATACTTTACAGCAGCCTTCCAGAGTCTGAAAGGTGGCTACAAGGAAGCTGGACAGGGATTTTTTCAAGGGTGTGTAGGTATAGGACAAGAGGTAATGGCTTTAAGCTGAAAGAAGGTGGATTTAGATTAGGTATTAGGAAGTTCTTTACTGTGAGGGTGGTGAGTCCCTGGCACAGGTTGCCCAGAGAAGCTGTGGCTGCCCCATCCCTGGCAGTGTTCAAGGCCAGGTTGCACAGGGCTTTGAGCAACCTGGTCTAGTGGAAGGTGTCCCTGCCCATGGCAGGGGTCTGGAACTACATGATCTTTAAGGTCCCTTCCAAACCAAACCATTCTGTGATTCTATGACAAAAGGCTGTGTGCCTAAAATACATCATATTACTACAAATAACATCAACAGAGTACAACTTACTCTACTGAATAAGAACTTTAAGCTGCCCCAAGTCCAGAAAGAATAATATAAAAACTTCCTCTTTAAATAGGTCATCTCTCCAAAGAAGAATAACCTGAAAATTTCTTTTTTGTGATTCTGAATAGCTATTTAACAGCTAGGTAAGTTTTTCCTCATGTTGTACACAATTCAACAACCTGTTCTAAATGACTAACCATTTACTCTTACAGTGACAGTTTAAGCCAGTCTTAAATAAATGACTGATACACGACTTTATGGATGAATTCCAAAAAGACATTTCAAATCTGATTAAACTTGATATTTGCATTCATCCTTTGAACATTCCTGCCTACCTACAGCATGACTTCAATTGATACGTCAAGACTACCTCAGACTGTGCAGGTACTAGTTTGTCAGAAATACTACAATTCTCAGTAGAGAAACATGGTGCAGAAGTGCCTTTTCCTTACTCCAGCCCTCAGGGGAAAGCAATCTCTGATCTGCTCTACAAGTAGCAGCGTAACACAGTGCTACGACTAAGTTAACACCCAAGAACCAACAAACCTTCCAGACTGACCTGAGCAAATACTTGAGGTCCAATGCCCCTTGCAGACTACTGTGCTACCTCATCCTTCTTTTGCTACACGTACATCCAAGCCCCAAGGATAACATTCGCTCGCTGGGACACATCATAGCCTCCAAGCAAGCTTCAGAATGCCTCCACTGGGCAGAGACAAGATTCAAATCCCACCATAGTCAGCCAAGATCCTTACTTTCAAGTACTGAATTTGCCCCAGATGCTGCTATTGTTGGCCTTGTTAACATCCATACTGCTTTGTGCTCCTACCCAAACTAGTCCTTACTGCTTTCCAATCACCTTTAAACTTAATTCTGGTGTAGTACAGCCTTCAATAAGCCAAGCGTACTATCATTTACTTGAAACATGTCTATGTTGTAGAACATGTTGTTCTCTCACTCGGTCTACCAAAAAAACTACCTCTAAATAAAAATGCCCTTTGAGTGGAAATCAAATAGTCCTAATTATCTCCAGGCTTTTTAGCTAAACTGCTGTTCTGAGATCATGAAATTTCACATGTAATTGGGGGCCAGAATAGTGACTGGCACAAAGAAAACATTACTCAAAATGGACTAGGCTACTTCCAGAACCAGCTCAGCTCCAGAGGCAATACAACTTCTGCTCTGTTCAAGGCTCAACTTAGTCTGTGGAACTTTTAATGTGAAATCCAATTAGATATCTCCGAACTTCAGCCTACTGACTCAGAAAAAAGCGTCCATCAGCTCAAGACCAGATATTTGGGCTACTAAACCCTACTATCACAAACTGATGCAGTGCAGCTTCCCAGCTCACCTCAATTTTTCCACCTCTTGTTATTTTGGATAATGAAGACCTTACAGCAACTTAAACAAGCCTTCACATGCAAGTCAAAAGTGTAAAAAAAACCCATAAGCTTAAAGACATTAAAAGTCCAAGTATGCCAAAGCGTGGGACAAAGGATGCTAAAGGTATCAGTGACTTCCACCTGCTGGTGCACGTTAACATTCCTCTAACTGCTTAAGTATACTCTGGGCTTTTTACTTCCATAGCATACAGCACTAGTGTCCCACACCATGCTTTCCAAAGGAAATATGAGTATCAATCCAAACAGTGGAATCAGTTAGCAGAAGTCAGATAACACAGACTGAATTCCACTGATCTGCAGAAGTCTTTCGCTTATCATTTACACAACTTCTTCAGGTTTTACATTTGCATCCAATTCACACCCATTTAAGATGACTGCTCATATCAACACCAATAAAATCCTGTGGGTACCAAAACATTGCTGCAGTTTTGCATAGTAGGAGCATGTTACCTACACTAAGCTTATTACTAGTAGTTTAATACACATACTCTTTTTTTGGGTTGAGGAAAAGATTTCCACACCTTGGGCATTCTCACCTTGGCTCTTTTCCAGCAGAGATGCAATCACAGCTTCATTTTCAATGGGGTTCAATGAACACGTGGAATACACCATTCTCCCACCTTCTGCCAGCTGTTCAACACCACGGGTTGCAATTCTTAACTGCAATCTAACAGAACACTCTTGATCTAGCCAGTTTTAATTCAGGAACCAGAAAGATTTGTCATCAAATTTCTTATATGTGAAGCTATACTACAGGCTCCATGGACTAAGCCAGCACTTACCAAGCTCCACAGCTGTCACCAGTACACAGATTAAAGTCAGCTTTAAACTAAGTCAGCTTTAAACTAAGTCATCTTAGTGCAGCCTATGCTGCAGACACACTCACAATTACATCCATTAAAACAGCAATTAGGTCAAACATTAACACAACTGCATGGTAACTTGTAACATAACATTCTGTATGTTGTTCTTTCTAGTGCCCCATTATTACAAAGTACTCCATACTAGAAAAATAACACCCCAAAACCTGGCTCTCCTCAGAAATCTAGAGTTAAAATGAGGAGCAATCTATTACAAATATTATGGACAACACAGCTTAGCTAGCACTGGCCTTCTGAGAGAAGTGTCACTGAGCCAGATAACGAGCTTATACCCTACCCGCATACTGACAATTAAAATAGAACCTGCAGTTATAAGTTTCCAAGTAGTAACAAGTCACCAGAGGTCATCCGAATCACAGTAACTGACATCATTCCCAGCTTATTACAAAGGCACAGTAAAATATTCTAAGCTTTTCCATCTGCGTTTAAATTACTGCTTTTATGTGCCTGCACCAGGCTAAGCACTCATTCACCATCATTTAACATAAATCAGTCTCAGGTAACTGAAACCATGTTATGTATTATCTCTGATATTCTTAAGACTTTAAAACATTACTATTTAATCTTGCAAGTTGCTGTATTTTCCAACAGTATTTTACGTGCCTAAATACTAAGAATCCCAAGCAAATTATTTGTTCCCTCTTTAATTAACTACCTTGTCTAAATTAATTAAATGAATGTTAATACGTCAGATATCCTTAAGAATACAAGCAATTTAGATTCACACACTCCATTCCTCATATCTGAAACACTACACTTTCTCTGAATAGCACACAGGCTCTTGATCTGAGAGAAAAGTGACTCTTCTTAGTCTCTGCTTTGTCATGTATTAACATGTGAATGCATGCAGATGTTAAAGATATGGGAAAAGGAGGAGAGAGAAATGAAAGCACAGACATGTAATAAGCATTTTTACCCATGGAGCTGTAAACTGTTTTGTGTCGTCCACTTCTTCCATACATCGATGTTTTTCCTCATGGTTCCATCTCCACTGTAACAGAGGTTGAGCAGATTTGTGTTATTTATGGGTAAAACTCATTTCATATCCAAGTCATTTATAGCAGCAAAATATTAACAGTCCCTCTTCCACATTAACTGGTTCTCCTATGCCTTACTGTTTGCTTCAATGTGATCTTTGAATTTCAGTATCCTAAGCCTAAGTTCAAAACTGGTCCAAATATAAGTACCACTTAGAATGAAAAAAGTTCACCTTGATTTGGTATCCCCTTACCTAAGACAGTTTAAGGCATTCACCTGTTTTGGAAATTACTATAAATCATAACTTACTAAGCAACTCGAAAAGCATAATTCAGTAACACAAAAATTGTAGCACTGCACTTACTGCAGTAAAATCTGCGTATTGAAGATCGCATGCAAGATACCTGCAGGGGACGTCACATAAAATCCTGTCATAGAAGAGGACCTCTTTTCTTCCATCAACATCTATTTGTAGATTAGGAATGCTGGAGGCATCATGATTTACCACCATGATGCACGGACTGTTTAACCTCTTAGCCTGATGAACCAGCAAATAGCAGCGCTTGTTGTCGACATCATTAGCAATTACAAAACCCTCTGGGAATAAAAATATTGGGAAGATGCTTTACTATTCAACAGCTAAGTAATTTTACATAGTTTACTGCTTTATCTTCAAAGTTGTGTAAACCTTTCACTAGAGATTTTTACTTAAAAGCCTACTTATGAATAGAGGACCTCTTACTGAACATAAAATAACATGAAGTATGTTGAGGTTTAACCGATGTGCCAAATACAGTCTCAACAGTTCTAGCTTCCATGCAGCAACAAGACACAACCAAGGGCCCCTCAACTTTTCAAAGTAAAACCCTTGTGACAGAAAGAACCTCCACTGCCACCAAAGACAATCTCTGTACATCAGATTTTCAGAAGAATGCAGAAAGAATCCACTCCCCCCAATTTCACAATTTCCATGGGCAGTATTTTCTGTGAGCATCTAACTGAAAGTAAAGGTTCTGAAGCTTAAAAAAAAAAAAAAAAAATCAAGGAGATAAATATAATGACCATTTAAAGGGTAAAGCTGCTCAATCTGGTGTTCGCAGGATACAACTAAAACACAAGGGCTTATGAGCAATCATCTGCTAGCATACCTGATGTATATAAAAAAATTAAACACTAATCAGACCTACTGTAGTCTGAACTGTGAAGATATATATCTATATGTAATCCATCTCTCTCTTCTAGCCAAGGAAGCCCACAAAATTTCAAGGCAAAGGTGGGAGTACTTCCCATCTTCTATCACTCAAACACACTGGGGATTCAAAACGTAATTAAATGCAGTTACTTATCTGTGACAATAAAAACAATCTTCTACAAGAAAAAGCTGAAATTCAAAGTCACAAAAATTTTTGGTAGTTTTTCCAGACTTACTGGGAAAAGGATCATTCATGTCTGCGTGTAGCATTTCAATCAGTTGGGCAGTCTTAGATCCAGGTGCAGCGCACATATCTAGAATCTACAAACAGCAGAAAATTAAACAAGTCCTACCTTGTGGGTTTTAAGTCTGAGAAATTTACTATGTATTCTTAAAATTAAGAATTTTTGCATACGGTTGCAGAATTATAGTTGTTCTGAACACCAATTTACAAAAACATAAAGTACAGTTCTGTTCTTTGTGTGCTTTATCTCTGAGGGTCTAATATAAAAGAAAGACTTTAGTTTGTAGGGAACAAAAACCCCAGCTGAAAAAGAAAGACTTGAAAGAGAAATATGAGTACAGATACGGAGATACGGTCCTTTTATCAGCTCATGAGCAATTTCAGCTCAAGTTAACTGGAACTTTACATATACACACACATTAAGAGCAAAGTTACACTAAAGAGCAAGTGGCAACAGCAAATTAATCAGAGAACATACAATCCAGTTGATTATATAGATTTCATAAAAATTAACTGCTATCTCACCCCCACATTGCATTTTAATGCCCAAAAAATCAGGGCAGTATAAACTGCTTGGTTTTATATCCTTGAAGAAGCACTCAGGAATTATCTGAACTGTCTTCAGCAGCAGAACAGAACAGCACAGACACCAACACCTGATTTCTAGGATTATTTCTCACCCCTGGTTCATCACAAGCTTGGCTTGTGATGGAGTCATTCATACAGTCACTTTCACAGCAAACCATATGACAGCTAACACTGCTTTCTTAAGTAAGGAAGCTTAAGAGTCTTTCTTCTTGCCTAGTTACAGAAACATACGACTATCTTCTGGACCTTTAGCTCCAGGAAATACCAGCTGAAATTGTGCAACAGGATAAAAGACGGGGACGGATCTGCTCCAGTCCTCATGCAAGCTCTTGGCATGAACAAGACTAACTTGAAAGCCAGACCCCAGAGAGACACAAAGAGCATTTATGGAGAGCTCCAGAAAGCACGGGATAAGCACTGACATGCTTAATGCATCATGAACACACTCAGTAAGACAGTGTCATATCTGTCGTTTAAAGTAACAGTTGTAACACCGCCAGTTTCCACTTAATGCAAAAAACAATGAAGAATAAGCAAGCCTAAACATGCTTTAAAATTGTCCAGCAAACTGATGGTGAGGGAAAACCAAATTGTGAAAAACAGATTAAAACCGAACACAACTACAGAGAGGTTTGACGGTCATCAACCTGATCCTTGCGTAAGAGAATTTTGATACTACTCCTGTAATTTGAAGCGTAATCAAACTACCTACTAGGAACAAAAAATCCAGTACACAGCATGTTCTACAGTTACCTTATGATGAGGGTTAACATTAAGCAGCAGAGGTGGGATCATACTAACAGCCTCCTGACGACTGATATTTCCCTTGAAAGGAAAATAAAAATAAAAATCAGAACCCCCTCCTTTTTATTCCACAAAACTGCACATTTCTTTTGCAACATACTTTTTTAAACCTATATATATTTATAA